TGGTTTTTATGAAATTTCAGGCCTATTTTTCATAAAAATTTCATTTTAACACTATTTTCTGCATATATTCTTGCTGATATGAGTATCCAATTGGTCATATTTGTTGCATTTGTGCTGCTTTGTTCATTTTTTTATTAGTACAACATGTATGGTTTGATTATGCAAAGAGTTGTGTGCGGATTTGGATGCATTTCAAGCTAAATATGCAAGAAAAAATTGATTTGTACTTGCTGATTTTTCTGAAATCTGTACTACTCTTGCTGTTTTTGTCCCTTAAGAGTGCTCATTTGCTTCAAATATGAATTATTATTGATATATCTTTCTTGGGGACAAAATTTTGAAGCATGCCATGATGTTTCTATGCTGATTTTGATGTTTTAGGAGCTGAATTTTTGATAAAATCTGATCTGCATGGTTTTTTTTAAAAAAATCTGCAACATCTTTTCTTGCTTTTCATGCTGAATTTGAGTTCCTAAGATGCCTACTTGCTGAATTATGCACTTTAATTGTTAAATACATGCATAGGAACTGACTTGAAGGGTATTTAGCTTGTCTTTGCAATCTAAATTTGACCCTTATATGCTGAGTTTTGATGTCAAAGTGCAAAAATGCAGAAAACTGTTTCTAAATACTGATTTGAAGCTTACAATCTGCACTTGGGTTCTGAATTTCGGCTTCCGTTGTTTTTACTTTCTCTGAGTGTTTTAAAGAAACACTTTTACTTCTCTTTACTACTTCATGGTTTATTTGCATGTATGTTTGCAAGTAGTAAACTGTGTCTAGCCAAAGACTTTAAATCGGGCGGCTTATGGGAGGCAACCCACTTTCTTTTTAAGTTTTTTTTGCATTGTTCTTTGAAAAAGGGTTCTTTTACTTCTAACTTCTAGTTATTGTTGCACTTTTTCTCTTGTTTATTTTTTTTTCTAACATGACCCACTAACATTTTAAATCATTTTTTAAATAATTCTTTTTAATTTCTTATGCTTACTTCTAACTTTAACTTCTTTAACTTCCTGTTGTATTTTTTTTTCCCTTGTGATGGTTAATTTGGTTTTTATTCTCTTTCTTTTAATAACCAACTTACTTTTATTGTTTTTTTTTCCCTTCCATATTGATGTAATTGTATAGCATCATTTTTTTTCTTTCATTTAATTTTTGAAAAACACAAAAAAAAATAATATTGAAAAGAAAAAAAAAGTATGTTGCTTGCTTTTAAATGTTTTTACTTATTTGTGCTTCTAACCATCTACTTTGAGAGCTTTTTGCAAGATTTGTTGAGTTTTAGGTGGAAGCATGGTGTTTGGAGTAAAAATCTGCACATTATGGTGCGAAAAAATTTGTTTTAAAACAGGGGCTCGAAGTGCTCGGGTGTTGGTATGCCATTAAATTTCAATTTTCTTAAGCCTTGGGTTTTATATTTGATCAATTATGGGATGAAAATTGAAAAATTCTGCACTTCTCAGTTTGATTTTTGGGCTATAAACTGAAAAATATGCACTTTGTGAGCTGTTTTTTAGTGCAGAATGAAAATCCTACACTTTTCACAGCTTATATGTGCTAAAATGGAAAAAAATCAGAATTGTTTTTGTTCTTAAACGCAAAAATACTTGGTCTTAGCCTTCTTTTTGCAGATTTTTTAGGTCCAACAAAAGCATGATAAGGAACGGGGAATGATGAATTGATGCTGTGTATACTTTTTTTGTTGAATTCCCCTATTCTCTTCTCTCTTTGCTAAGTCTGTGCTTACTTAATATTGTCGCTTACTTATTATTGTCATACCATATAGATGCATCGAGGACTATGCAAATTTTAAGTGTGGGGGGAGTTGCTCATGCTTGTGTCATTGCTTAAAAAAACTTTTGGGGTAAATTTTTTTTCAAAAAAATAGGTTTTGGGTCCAAATATTTTGTCATTCTTTGTTGAATATCTTCTTATTTAGAGCATTGTTTTCAAAATTGACCCAAAAACCTCATTGTTTTCCTTGAGGCTTTATTCTGAAAGATAACAAGTGTATACTTTTTAAACCCACATTGAGTCTTATGCTCTTTTCTTGGTAAAAAATGACCTTAAAATGTTTGAAATCCTTCTAGGAATACCATAGAATTTTGTTTTCTAGAACTGGCCATCCACATATATCTAGATGCTGCCTAATCAACCATTGCTTGATATTAAAATTTGGAAAAAGAAGAGAAACCAGTTTTAGGAGCCTTTTATTTTTAGAAAATTGAGTGACTTTTTATATTGTTTAGGCTTATTGATGAACCTTGCTACCGCTGCTATTGAGCCGTTTTAAACCATAAGATTCCGCTAGGAAACTTTTTTGTAGCAGCTTTAGAGTAATTGTTAGAACCCAAAAATCCACACCTTAGTTTTCCATCCTTGTAGGATTTCTAGCTCATTCTGTTTTTAAAATGCTATGGGCATAAAGTTTTAAGTGTGGGTTTATAAGGTGCACTTTGTTTTTCTTAATGATGATAGAAAAGATTCAAATGGTTTCTTTTTGGTCTTTTCAACGAGGACGTTCAAGTCTTAAGTGTGGGGTATTTGATAACTCGGGTTTGGGTTAGTACTTTTTATTCAATTTTAGCCATTTTTTTAGAGTTTAATTTTTAGTTGTTTAGCTTAGTTTTATTTTAATTCTTATTTTTACACTCTTTTTATTTTCTCTCAAAAATAGTAGCTTTTTAAGCATTTTTTACATTCTTTTATTTTTATTTTATTTTTCCTAATCCAAATTATCAGATATCTTATATGTGGAGAAAGTGCAGCAAAAGGCCAAAGTGCAGTTCAAGTTTAAAAAGAAGAGATCAAAATTGGGTTGAAGCCCAATCCATCATCAACAACAATAACCGGCCCTTTCCTCCTTTGCTTTTTAATTAGCACAAGTAAAAGAAAAAAAAGTCTACGACTCCTTCTTCTTCGCCATCGTCAACGGAGCGCAGCGCCCAAATCAAACGCATAACTCCTCCAACGTTCGGCTCCATCAATTGCGCAGCAATCAATTATCAACGGGAAGAATTCAGCTCCTCCTTGCTATAAATTGAAGAGAATCGACACACATGAAAGGGGGGGAAACACATGAGAATAAAGCAGCGGCCAAGCCGCTGCTATGGCGGAATCCGGCGGCATCAGTTCTGGCGATGGTCGGCGGTGATAGGTCAGGCGGTCCCTTCAAGCTCCAATTCTTCAATTACTTCTTCTTCAACAATTGGTAACCCTATATGTTATTTCTTCAATTTCTTCTCCAATTTCATTGTAAAAGTGTTGTTTCAATTCAAATTTACATTTTTTTTCCCTTGTTTGTGTTAATTTCGAAAATTTCAAAATGGTTGGTGTTCTTTTATGGGTTTTTTATGTTATATTAAATCCCTTATGAATGAAAATTGATTCTTACTAGTTTCTTCAATTTTTGCGCAAATTGATGTTAAATCGGTTGAATTATAAATTTGATTTCATAAGTAGGTTGGTATGTCGACTTCGGTTATCATTGAAGCTAATTTAGCTACATATTTTAGTTAAGTGATTCTCGAATTCATACGTGAATCTTTTTTTTGTGACTTGTGTTTTGTAAAATTTTAAGGATTTTGGACTTCTTAGCCACATAAGTCGAACGTTTTCCTTAAGATTCGTTATAGAGTGATTGTTTATGTCTTGGTGTTTTTGTTTGTTATTTTCATAAAAATTGGGATTGTTTAAGCGCAATAAACAACTCTTGATTTAATGAAAATATGTAATGTTCTTTTATGTGAATAGATTACAATTCTTATGCTTGAGTAGTTCAAGGAGACCTGCAAAATATTTTCATCATTAGACGTTAAAGTTTATTAAAGTGTATCAAATGTTCTTCATGAATACTTTGTGCATGGGAGTTAGAATGAAAGAAAGATTCGCTCTTTTATAAACTTTTTCATCTTTTGGAATCATTATTTGAGCGCTTGAGGTGAGTGGGGGTTCAAAGTAACCAAAAGGCCTTTGAATCTTTGACTCCGGGCCTTATAGAGAGTTGAC